AGGGTGTAAATCTTTACGGGAGTAGAAAGCCTCATCTTTCTCCCGCGGAGCAGCTGGTAGTTTCGAACTGCTGACCTTAAGGTTCTCAGCCCGATTCGTAACCACTACGCTACCAGAGCTAATTACTAATCTGATTAGTAATTCTAATATGCAGTTGATACAGGAAGCCACATTGGGGCAGATGGAGGAAGCAATAGAGCTAATTTCTGGTCACATTTATTGTTATCAAGGTCTTTAAGAAGCTTCTGTGTGTCAACTGTAATTGCAGAAGATGTATAACTAAAAGCGGGGGAGTAGTTAAACCTTTCATTTCAGGTACAGACAATACCAGGACCATCAAGAAGGAAGAGCATGAGTGAAGAGCGAGCTCCCTACCTAGAAACATGGCGACAGCAGACACAGTGGCCGAGATGATGGCACAGAGACAGAGCAGGTTCTAGGCCCACAGACTGAGTAAGGCTGTGTGCCTGTGGGAAGAAGGCTGGCTTGCAGAATGTGCCCTTTGAACATTTAAATGAATGTAAGTTTTTTGTTTTGTATGTGTACATCAAATATTTTTGCTTTGTTCATTTGTGAAACCTACGATATAAATGGTGAGCCACAGGGAGGAAGTAGGAGAACTGATGTTGCAGGACGGGAACTGTAATCACTGACATGAAACAAAATGTATGATTTGTTGAATGCAAAGCTGGTGGTCTTCTCTGTACACCTTCACTCAATTCACAATAAAACAAAAAAAAAAAAAAAAAAAAAGATAATGGGATTTTCCCACAAACTTTTTGAAGCCCCCCCTTGTAAATTTCCACCTTAAAGAAACAATTTTAACTTCATCAAGGCATAGCACTAGGTGGGTCTCACCCCCTCAGGTGAGTCGCAGGTTCTCAGGGGCTGAAGAACTGCCCAAGGACACAGTGCATGCACAAGTTTTCCCTCTGATGCCATGTCAGAAGATGCAAAAATATACGTGCTTCAAATGTTTCACAGTGCCACTTGACTACTAACCACAAGCCCATCCGCCACTCCTCAGGAAGTGGCAGCTTTCTGTTCCCGTAAAGATAAGACAGTGAGTCAGAATTGACTCAATGGCAGTCGGTTTGGCTTTTTTGGGGGATCTGGTCTTTGGCTTAGAGGCAGCACCTCACATAAAGGGGGCCTCAAAACACTTGTGGAAAAACGGAGTTACAAGATCATGGCATTTTTTTCATGAAATTTTTGAAGCCCCCTTGTATTTCTTTTGCTGGTTTTCCCTCTGGGTGATAAGAAATCCACAAATCTTATGGAGAAAAGTCTTGCAAGTACAAGAAGAGCACTTATAGAATACAAGGAATCCCAACTGAGTTCTTTTTATCTTTTCTTCAGGCTGTTGAATCAACTGATGCTTTCAAATTAAAAACTGAAAGTCAACTGGGTACATAGCCAACTCAGAACCGATTAAACTAATGTAGTTAACACTGCTTAAGTACTTAATGTACTAGGCTTATCCTCTTGGACTCCATTTCATTCTATCCTCAACAGTAAAGATTCCTATTTTAAAGATGAGAAAACGAAGGTTCAGATGTATTCTCAGGCTACCTACCTGGTATTTTGGTGTAGCCAGGAGCCTGCCTGAAGGTCAGCACTCTTACGTTTGAAAACACCAGATGTAGTTTTAAAATTAGTTTTGAGACACTCCAAGGCTAAATGTACAGTGTTCTAAATTTTGTTGCATTACTGGATAAACTTCTTAGCCATAACTGGTCACCAAATTCATTAGGTTTATAGCTGTTCGTTTTTTTAAAAAAGATGTTACTGTGTCTTAGGTGAAAAATAAAAAGTTCAGCATTTTAATTTTTAAAACCTAGTTGTCATAATCTGATTGTTGTTGTTGTTGTTAAGTGCCGTCGAGTCGGTTCCGACCCATAGCGACCCTGTACAGGGTTTCCAAGGGGTGAAAATCTTTACGGGAGTAGAAAGCCTCATCTTTCTCCCGCGGAGCAGCTGGTAGTTTCGAACTGCTGACCTTAAGGTTCTCAGCCCGATTCGTAACCACTACGCTACCAGAGCTAATTACTAATCTGATTAGTAATTCTAATATGCAGTTGATACAGGAAGCCACATTGGGGCAGATGGAGGAAGCAATAGAGCTAATTTCTGGTCACATTTATTGTTATCAAGGTCTTTAAGAAGCTTCTGTGTGTCAACTGTAATTGCAGAAGATGTATAACTAAAAGCGGGGGAGTAGTTAAACCTTTCATTTCAGGTACAGACAATACCAGGACCATCAAGAAGGAAGAGCATGAGTGAAGAGCGAGCTCCCTACCTAGAAACATGGCGACAGCAGACACAGTGGCCGAGATGATGGCACAGAGACAGAGCAGGTTCTAGGCCCACAGACTGAGTAAGGCTGTGTGCCTGTGGGAAGAAGGCTGGCTTGCAGAATGTGCCCTTTGAACATTTAAATGAATGTAAGTTTTTTGTTTTGTATGTGTACATCAAATATTTTTGCTTTGTTCATTTGTGAAACCTACGATATAAATGGTGAGCCACAGGGAGGAAGTAGGAGAACTGATGTTGCAGGACGGGAACTGTAATCACTGACATGAAACAAAGTGTCTAATTTGTTGACTGGTAATGTTGTTGTTATGTGCAGTGGAGTCGGTTCCGACACAGAGCAACTTTACACAGGGTTTCCGAGGCTGTGAATCTTTATGGGAACAGACCGCCTCATCTTTCTCCCGCGGAACTGCTGGTAAATTCGAACTGTTGACCTCGCGGCTCGCAGCCCGATTCATAACCACTACACTACACTGTTTGTTAACTTTCACAATTCACAATAAAAAGCTAACAAAAATACAAAAAAACACTTCTATGTGTGCTATCATGTAACATAATTATCAATATAGTAACACATGAACAGAACTTAGAATCAACACATAAATACTGGCGTACAGGCTCAAAGGGTTTGATGGACAGGTGTGTTGTCCCAAACCCAAACTCCACTGCAGTCCCATTGATTCCAATTCAGTGACGCCCCAGGACAGACTAGAGCTGCCCCTGCCCCATATGGTTTCCAAGGTTGTAATCTTTATGGAAGCTACTGTCTTATCTTTCTCTTACAAAGAAGCTGCTGAGTTTGTACCTCTGACCTGCCAAGTTAATGCCAAGCGCTTTAACCACTCTGACACCAGGGCGGGCTCCTATTTCTCACCAGAAAACAATAAAAGTAAAAACCAAACCTACCCTCATTGAGCAGATTCTGACTCACTGCGGCCCTACAGGACAGAACAGAACCGCCCCATAGGGTTTCCAGACCATAATCTTTATGGAAGCAGACAGTCACATCGTTCTCCCACAGAGCACCTGGTGGATTTGAACCACCAACCTTTCAAATGGTAGCCAAGTGCTTTATCATTGTGACACCAGGGTTCCTGACAGTTATGGGACCACCTGGAAAGTGTGCTAACGGCACTATGCCTACTGTTTTCCAGCCCCAGAACTGAGGGAAGGCAATGAGAGACGCAACCAGCGTGGATCACTGCAGGGCAAACTCAGGCATAGTTCCCCAGGAGCCTTTGCAGGCTGCTCCCAGAAAGACTGCTGCTGTTGTTCTGTTGTTATTTCATACTGCCACGTTATGTGCAAGGACGCCAACCCGTAAAGACACAGCAGAACTGCCTCACAGGGTTTCCAAGGCTGAAATCTTTATGGGAGCAAACTGCAAGGGCCTCACTTTCCAACTGCTGACCTATTGGTTAGCAGCCAAGCACTAAAACGTGGGCCACCAGGGCTCTTTCCCACAAAGATGACAGCCTGAGAAACTCCACGGGTCGGAACTCCCATGTCACATGAGGTTGCTATGAGTCAGAACAGGCTCAGTGGCACCTAACAAGATTCAGATGAAAGATAGCAACATTAATTCCAACCATAATCTTAAATTAAAAGCCACTCTCATTCTAAAAGCAATTAAATGAGTGAAAATAAACATGAAGGCAAAGTACAAACCCAGACATCCTTTTGTTGATGTTAAACTGCTCACAAATGTCAGACGCCAGCACTGTGAGCTGAGGCCCAACGATGCTGTCCAGTCTTCGGCAAAAATCCAACGTAGGCTGTGTGGAGGCTGCCAGGCAAGTTAAACCATTGTTAGGTGTTGGAATACTGCACTTTCAAAGGTCAGCATTCATCCTAGCTTGCAATACTTACTACCGCTTCACATGGGGATGTTACTAATCTAAGAAATAAAGCCATGAGATATCAGCCCCACCTCACCCCTAGCCCACCGAACAGCAGAGAAACAGGAGAGTCAGTGACTTCTACTTCAGATGATAAAAAAATCAAAGCTCTACCCCATGACTTGTGTGTGTGTGTGTATTGTAAATGGACCACCTATCCCAGATAAACAGTCAATTAATAATGCTCAAATATTCAACTAACAAACACCCCATAGATTCAGGAGTCCCTGGGTGGGTACACATGAACTACTAGCCTAAAGGTTGGTGGTTCAAACCCACCCAGAGGCACCTCAGAAGACAGGCCTGGGCCGTCTGCTTCTGAAGGTCAAAGCCTTGCAAAGCCCGTGGAGCCCAGTACTGCTTTGCACACACGAGGGTCACTCTGAGTATGAGTCGACTTGACGGGGACTCCCACCATCACCACCACCACCACCACCACTGGCACCACAGAGCCCTCACAGGCCAGACCTGGTTTAGGTTCTTGTTGTTGTTGTTGTTAAGTGCTGTCGAGTCGGTTCCAACCCATAGCAACCCTGTATAGGGTTTCCAAGGAGTGACTGGTGAGCTTGAACCACCGACTTTGCAGTTGAAACGTCTTTGCAGTCTGGCACATTAACCCACAGAGCCACACCTATACAAATACTGAATTCATCTAATCTTCAAAAGCCCTCTGAGAGAGGAAAGGAAGGAGAGGCAGGCAGGGTCTCACAGCTGGCAAGTGGAATCGCTAGGGTCTATAAGCAATTCCTGGTGTGATGCTGTAGGATAAGCACGCGATCCCAAGGTAAGTTTGAACTGTAAGGTTGGCGATTCAAACTCACCAGTCGCTCTTCAGAAACTCTATACAGGGTCGCTATGGGTCGGAACTGACTCGAAAACACTTTAACACCAACAGCATTTAAAATGTCTGACGTCTCAGACTGGGAAGAGTGTGTTACCACAGCTGCCAGTCTGCTTAGGACCAAGCAGCCATCATTCAGGACCCATCTCTGCTGTGGAGTTGATTTGAAATCACAGCATCACTATCAGGACAGAGAACTGCTCCCAAGGGCTTCCGAGATGGGGACTCTTCACAGGAATCCTCAAACATTTCACTGCTACATGTGTCTCCTGTGGAGTGGCCAGTGGGTTTGAACCTTCAGCCCTGTGGTTAGTGGCCCAATGTTAAACGCACTGCACCCCAGGGCTCCTTGTTGCAGCACAGAACAGGCAGGCTATAAAGGGAAAGGGCCTCTCTACTTGGGCTGGACTGAGACAAGTGTGTACCTACCGTCGATCATGAAGCACACAGCTGCACTCATGGCCTGTGAGGAGGAAGCAAACCAGAGATTACAGAACGGCACCCGAGCGGAGACGAGTTATAACACAAAGTGTACCTTGCATGGCAAATGCAGGGAACACACCTCAATCTTGAGTTGAACAAACCACCATAAAAAAGATTTTTTTTTTTTTTTTTTAAGTCAACTGGAGAAATCTGAAGATGGACAGGACATCAGACTGTATTCTTGCTTGTCAGGTGTGATGATGGCATAGTGGTTATATTAAAACAGATGCTCTCATCAGGTCCAGAAGGAGCCCTGGTGACGCAGTGGTTAAAGTGCTCAGCCGAGAATGGGAATGTTGGCAGTTCCAACCCACCAGCTGCTTTGCAGGAGGAAAGTGAGGCAGTCTGCTTCCATCAAGGTTTACACCCTTGGAGACTGATGGAGCAGTTCTCCTTTGTCCTAAGGGGTAGCTGTGAATTGGAATCAACTTGATTAATGGGTTAAACAGCAGGCATTAAGGATGCAAATAGAAATACTTACCAAGTGACATGATATGATAATTTAAACTACTCTAGCAAAAAAAAAACCAAAAAAAAAACAACCCTCCAAAAAACAGAAGGAGGTAGTAGAGGAAAGATTGGCATATGGTCTGCCGTCTTAAATGCTGTTGTCTATTTTTGTGTGGGTCTGACAATTCCCATTAATACAAGTTAAAAAAAAAAAAAAAGCAATAGCAGCAAATTAATGTCACCTTGCCTCATCGGATTATCAGTCAGTCATTGCAATTATGACATCATCAAATAACAGCAAGTTCAGTCCCAAATAAAATCATCAAACCAACCAACCAAATCCACCATCTAGCCGATGCCAACTTACAGCAACCCTTCATAAGGTTTCTGAGGCTGTGAATCTGTATAGGAGTGGGCAGCCTGGTCTTTCTCTCGTGGGTTTGAACTGCCGACCCTGTGGGTAGCCGTCCAGTACTTATCCCACAGTGCCACCAGGGCTTCTTAAAACCACCAAAGGGTTTAAAATGTAAACGCATCAAAGCACTGGGTCACAGACGGAGTTATTGTTTCCCAAGGCAAGTTTCCTGGACATGTGAACGTGACCTTGTTTGGAAATGTCGCATTTTTCCTTGTAGATCTCATCAGCTACAGTAAATAGAGTAGGTGCTGATGTGAACAAACCCCTCCTGAGTGATGCTCCACCGCTCCCCATTTCCACCTCTCAACCTCTATCCGCCATAGCTTTCTTCTGACTCTGGGCAAGTATAAGTGTACTCTGTTTTGCAATCAAATCAGAATTCCGATGTGGCTTCCAGGCCAATTCCATCCAGTTTGTGTGTACAACAGCTTTAATCTAGATGCTAATTTTATGCCCAAAACGCCCGCCTCTCGTGAAATTTTAACAGGTCTGGGGCCTCCTGATGCCATTTGCGTTCTCCGAGGTACCAACTGGCTAGAGCTGGGTAGTGGCTACTCCTGGGGTCACCTGCAATCCAGTGTGTCACAGACCCCACCACAAGCTTCAGACGCTTGCTCCACCATGCCTCCTATCTGCAGGGCTTCTGTGGGCATTTTTCCTTGGACACAAGTTGATTTAAAAAACA